GATGCCATTAACCACAGTTTCCATTTATCAATGGGAATAGATACAAGGGGGCAGGGTTTGAACCGTATTTTGGAGATCCATAAATGCATAAATGCTTTGTTTATCCCGGAATATTTCCTGTCAGCTCCCATTATGATCAGAGATTTTTATACCATCTCTCCAGGTTGGTTTGTTTTGACCTAGTATAAAATTGGAAAGAATGGGAATAAAAATCTGGGTTTTTTCAACTAGTCTGTATATGTCCAGAAAGAGAGACAGAAGGAGTGTCTACTTGTAGCTGCTTTTGGTTGTTTATAGGTCTACTGCTGGTTCCCTCCCCCAGAGAATACGTCCTCCAAGAGATCATCCACAAGGGAATGCATTCCTTTAATTAAAAAAAAAGTTCTCTGCCCACATCCAGATTATATTTAGCTGCTAGACAGGTGATAACCCTTCTCTATGACGGGGATTAAATTCCCCCCAAAATTGGATTGGTTTTGCAGAGATGATTCTGACTTTCATTAGACTAGCTGCCACCTTCAAATTATTTACTAAAACAGATTCTCATTCATGAGGTTAGTGCACCCCCTAAATTTAAAATCTATATTCACAAGGCTCAGTCCAAATTATTCTCACTAAAGTGTTCAGTTAGGTTTTTGATGGCTTTGGATCAGAGCTTGGGAAACTTATGGATCACAACTCACAGGATGTCCTTGCCATTCTGGGGAGTTGTGGGCAAGAAATGTAAATAGTTCCAAGCTCTGATATTTGTTATTAATGCCCTCTTTGACTGAATCTATTCATCTGGTGTGCTGTCTCCCTCTCTTCCTATTGCCTTCTATCTTTATGAGCATTGTCATTTTTTTTGGAAATGAGTCACCCCTTCTCACAATATAGATATAGCTTTGATATAGACTTATCTCTTTTGGCATAGGGAAGCAATCATTTCTATGAACTCACATCTAAAGCTTAAAATAGTACAACCAGACACAAAGTTTACTCCATCAGTTAAAACTAATTCAAAGCAAACTGTTTACAATGGGAGAAATTTAAGCATGTGCTAAACTGTTGAAAGTACTGTGATTTAATAATGTTTATTCGTTAGTCAGACTGCTCCACTGTATTTTAATAGTGTATATCAAACAGTAAATTAATCTAATGTTATATTACATATGCCAATAATCTACCACCAGTAGGTATAAATTGAAAATGTCAGACTTTTAAAAACAGATACTTTTTGTTAACAGTAGGCATTTGCCTAAACATGTGATGTATAAAAGTGAGTATGGTATGTGGATTCAACACCCACCCACACACCAATGCTAAAAGGATGCTCTTATACATGGGGTTATTGAGGACAGGAAAGCCTCAGATCCTATGCTCAGTATTTGTGTTCACATATTCTGGTGAATGCCTGAATATAGCTACAGTATTCACTATATCAAGGGCCTATATACTTTAAAGGCAACAGATCCTGTCAGATTTTGAAGCTAAGCAGGGTCAGCCCTGGTTAGTACTTGGATAGGGTGCTATATTGCAGAGGAAGGAACTGGCAAAGTCACCTCTGAATATTATTTGTCTAAGAAAACCCTATGAAATTCATGGGGTCTTCCTAAGTTTCCAGGTGACTTGAAGGCATATGTGCATGTGCACATGCACACACTCACACTCATTGTATCAGTCATTCAGGAATTGCATATCTAACTCAATCCTCTCTCTCAATCAGCCCATGGTGTTGCCATAAACTCCATGGCATGCACTCCTTAACTATGAGTCTTTGATCTCATTTTCTGGGCAGGGCAAGGCAGCTGTAGGAAAAAATAACAGAGTCTTGTGGCCCTGTAAAGACCAAAAGATTTTATCTGGCACAAGTGGGCTGCAATGCATGACGTTTATGCCAAATTAAACTTGTTAGTCTTTAAGGTGTTGCATGACTCTTGGTTGGTGCTGAATTCCCTGACATTTACTCTCAAGCAAATGGCTTGGGCCTGTAACTTGTCTTAAATCCAAGTTACTGGATTTAGCCAACTTGTTCCAGACTTAAACAGCTGAAAGTAGAATTCCAGGAATGTTTACTCATAAGTAAATTCCATACACCATTGGGTTTACTCCCAGGAAAGAGTACATGAGATTGCAGTCTTATATTCAAACAACTCATCACTGAGTGTGTGGTCAGTTCATTGGACATTTTTATATCACAACATGACTACTGGATTTTGATTGTTCTTTGTGTTTTCTTTAGTGGTAACCCCTTACTTAATCACTAGCTGAACACTGCATTTATTTATTGCATTTATATCCTGCCTTTTGTTCCCATGAGCTCAAGGCACATACCTGACTCGCATCCAGGGTGACCAGATGTCATGATTGCAAAGAAGGACAAGGCACTGCAAAATGTAGGACCTCTCACAAAATGGAGGACATTACCAAACAAAAGCTAAAAATACTCGTATAAATGTAAATTCATGCTTCTCAGTCATTTTTAAAATGGAGGACATTTTGGAATTCCTCCTGTACAGAAGGTTGAAATGTAGGAAAGGTAGAATGTCTGGTCACCCTGCTCTCCTAACCAGTACTTTTTATCTTCACAGTAATCCTATGAAGTTAGCCTTTTGTGAGAGTGGCTGGCCTAAGGTGTCCCAATAAGTTTTGTGGCTTAATGTGAACTCAAACCTGCCTTTGCCAAGTGCTAACCCAACACACTATACCATACTGGCTTTGCAAAGTGATTGCAAGTGGAAGTGTTAGGTAAACACTTCTACTCTGTTTGTAATATGCACTGAACTTGTTCATATATGGAGGGCAGTGGTCTATGTATTTGACTAGGACTACAAGAGATCAGATTCAAATCCCACCTAGCCATTAGATAACCTTGGGTAAATCACACTCTTTCGGCCTTAGAGGAAGGCAGTGGCTAAATTCCTCTGAATAAATCTTGTCAAGAAAAACATCTCTGGAGTCTACTTGTAGGCCAACAACAACAACAACAACAACAGTGGACCTTAAATGAAGCTTTATCAGAACCATGTGTTCAGCATTTGAGAATGCTGCTAAGCTTTCTTTATAATTTTAGGCAGAATATAGTTTTTTTTTTAAATTGTACCTTATGGATAATTTATTGTATGGATAATTTATTAAATGGAAGGCTTTGGAAAAAAAGTCATTACTGGTCTTTGACATACTCAGACCTTTCCTCAACCCCTCATGCGTTTTCTCGTGTTACTGAAGGCAGAATCCAGTCTTCTTTCTAGAATTTTCCATTCTGCACAAATCCGTCATGTTGCTGCAAGTACAGGTACACAACATGCATTCCTACCTGGCCAGATTGACAAATTATCAAATTGTTTTGTACAGGTGAACAGTTTCAACAAGTATGGTGGTGAGGTGACAAGGGGGTGACCCAACCTCAAACCCGGGTTTGAGGTTGGGTCACCCCCTTGTCACCTCGCCAACACAGTATTATAGAAACTGTTGACCTGTACAAGACAATCTGATAATCTGTCGATCTGGCCAGGTAGGAATGCACGTTGTGTACCCGTACTTGCAGCAACACAGCGGTGGGTTTGAGGAGATTGGGTCACCCCCGGTCACTTCGCCACCACACGTGTTGAAACTGTTGACCTGTACAAAACAATCTGATAATCTGTTCGGTAACTGTGAGCTGTCTCCTTATCTTCTGACTATGTCTCTTTGTTGCCTTCCAGATTTGGCTCTCTCCTGTGGTTGCATTGTTCTCTATTATTATTCAAGGCAAGCAGCCTCAGTGGTGAACCCATTGACCATTCAGTCAACAGAGTCACTGCTGTTGCTGCTGCTAATTAAAAGTTCCCAACCTCTTGCCCGAAGGCCAGGCCAGAGCCAGTCAGAGAGGAGCCAGGTCCAAGCTGTTCAGGGACCAATCGATCAGCTGATTAACCCTTATTACTGATTGGCCAGAGCTGATTGCATCTCAGTAAAGAAATCTTCTTTTGCCTCCAGGCATAAATGGAAGCTATACATTTAGTATTAGGCCAGAGAAAGAAGCTGTCTCTGTGGCTGCAGCAGGTCATGTCCAGTGGAAGAGATAGCTAAAAAGTAAAAGGAAGGCCAGCATGGGGTGTTTTCATTTGCTTGTGTATTTAAAATGAAGCTCTCTTTCTGCCTCTCTCTCAATACCTTGCTTTGGAAAGGAATGTTTCCAAAAAGGCTTTGAAACTGGCATGAGAAATACCCATAGGTTTTTCAATGAGCCAAAACCCCCCCCCAAAACAAAAACAAAAAAACAGGAGAGAGAAGGTATCAAATGGTTCCACCAGAGGTAAACATCTTCTGGATCTTCAACGTTTATCATTTATAAATATTCAGTGTTCTTTTTATGCCAGCAGAGTACATTCCCCATGAAACCTTTGAGTATGATAGTGTGAAAAATGGATATTTTTGTAATTCATTTATGTCAGTATGACTGAGTTCTCTATCCCTCCCACCCTTTCTTTCATTTGTTTGAGGCACCAACACAGATTCATAACATCCCTCCTTAGATAAAGACTACGTATGGGGATAAATATTGATAGTATAGATCTAGTACACATAGTTTGCAAGACCAAAACAAGACTTTTTTTAAAAAAGCTTTTAAACCTTGGAGAATTGAAGCACCTGCCAGCATGATTGTTTTCTTGTTCAGTCAATGCACAGTGCACAACACTGTACATATTCTGTATATGTCTGAAGCAATCACTCTGTAGGTGCACACTAACATCCATACACAAATGGGCAGATGTGTCTATTGTGATCAAAACAAGAAAATAATATTTTCAGAGAGAGAGAGAGAGGGAAATGAAAATAGGGACATTAATACAAATGAGTTTCAAAATATTCAGTGCTGATAAGGTACAAATTTATGTCCATTCTGAGGCCCTGGGTAATTACAAGGCAATTAAAAACAAGACTATTTCTTCTTTAAACTTTAATGGCTTTCTGGACAATAATGTTAAGTATCAACATTCAAATCAGTAGTTTTATATCTTTCCTCCTATGGTTCAAGAGCCAGTGTGGTGTAATGGTATGAACACTGGACTACTACTATGGAATCCAGGGTTCAAATCCCCACTCAGCCATGGAA